ACAGCTGAAACAATTCAGAAGTAATATTTCATCTGTTATCAAATAAAGTTAAAGAGGAAGGTAAAGGTATAAAATTTCCGCCAGGGACTTAATATACGAAAATGGAAGTAAACCTTTTTATCATTACTCGCCCAAAGAGAAAGAAATATTATTCTCGCTATAGCAACCTTGCGATAACGGAACATATATTGGTGACTTTTCCAATTCAAATGAATATCTCAAATGCCAAAAGCTGCACGAGTCATCCATCTCATAATATAATTGCCGTTAAAAATGACACTAACATGGAAGGAGAATATAAGTTTATCTAGATTAAAAGGTTGGATTTATGTGATTCATGATCCAACTGTTTCCCATTCATGACATTCAAAAAGCCAACCATTCACACGCAAACATGGCCGACCAAGTACCCAGTACAGTAAGCTACTAAAGTGGAATGTGCAACCCTATACCAACTGATACAAGGTAGAAGAGAGTTTCTGTAAGAAGTCGATTCCTTGGATTCGGATTTTAGACACCTCAGCCATTGGATAAATTCTGTTGCAAGAGGAGCCTTTTGTTACTGGTTTCTTCAACTGTCATTTACAGATAGAATCTTTAATAGTAGGAGCCTATACATTTGAGTAGTTAGGTAGTTAATAACCGATTTGATGCCCCTTTTGTGTCTATAAATAGCAACATTAGGCAGTGAAGAAGAGAGAGCTCGAGAGAGAGAAAGAAAGGGTTAGAATTTTGTAGACAAAGTAGATAGAAAGTGAGATAGAGTGAAACTCTTGGAAAAATCTGTAGCAAATTCTTTCTGTTGATCTCTTACTGTATATAGATCATGTAAAGTCTTGTGTGGATAATAAAGGCTGTGGAAGTCATTCTTCCTGTTCCATATCTGTTCTTTGATTTCTTCTTGCTGATTTATATGCGTTTTTCTTGCTGATTTTTGCATCTGTTTCTGCTAGTTTTTATATTTGCTTCTTCTTCATTTCCAATTCTGCTAGTGCAACATGTCTTTTCAATAAACTTTGTATTAAGTTCAAAGCAAAGGGAAGTCATAACACCCCAACAATTGGTATCAAAGCCGGGCTTTGGCAACCTGAAAAAGAAGCAACAAAACAAGTCCGAAATTCTGCCTTATTTTTTTCTTCTTCTTGATAACTGGCTGCACACACCATTTGAAAGGGAAGATTCTTGGCCAGAATCTCAATCACGCCATGTCTACATCCAAGTTTGAAGTGGAAAAGTTTGATAGCAAGAATGATTTCAATCTATGGAGGGAAAAGATAATGGCACACCTTGGTAACCTTGGATTGGATGAAGCCTTGAAAGAAGAATTTGACACTGATGCATCAAACCAGACTGACATCCCGAAGAAGGCAAGAAACACTATCATTCTTAGCCTCAGTGATACAATTTTAAGGAAGGTAATCAAGGAAGAAAAGGCCTCTAAAATGTGGAGCAAACTGGAGGAACTTTACTTTGACTAAAGCATTACCAAACCGGAATCTACTTGAAGCAAAAGTTCTACAGTTTCAAGATGGATGAACCCAAGTCAATTGATGACAATATTGATGAATTCACAAAGCTGGTTTCTGATTTGGAAAATCTTGAAATCAAGATTGATGAAGAAGATCAATCAATTTTCTTGCTAAACTTATTGCCTCAATCCTATGATCATCTTAGAGATACCATCAAGAATAGCAAAGAATCATAGACCCTAAAAGAAGTTGCTGCAGCAGGCCAACGGCCTACTCAAAGGAATTGGACCTGAAATTAAATGGAAATCTTGCCAAGATGACTGGAGAAGTGCTGAGTGTGCGAGGCAGGAGAAGAAATAAGTTGTGCTAGATCTGTCATCAAGAAGGACACTTCAAGAAGAATTGCCCACAAAGAAACGAGATGACTGAAGCAAGGAAACCAAAACAAGCAAGATGGAGACTGTGAAGTTGCTGAAGTACTTGCTATAACAAGTACAAGCCTCAGCAATGTCTGGATAATGGACTCAAGTTGTCCATTTCATATGACACCAAGAGGAGAATTTTTCATTGATTACAAACCAGATTATGAAAGCAAAGTGCTGATGGGAAATGAGTCAAATGACAACACCTTCTGTAGCGACCGAGAACTTT